ACATGTAAAAGTTTTAAGGCATCTAGAGGCATTTGCTTCTGCTTGAACTTTTGTCTGTCGATATATATTGTGAAGACAGTTCAGACTTTGTTTACACTGCTGACATTGTTTACAGTTGCTTTACAATATGTGATGATGACTGAATGAATCAATCAATTCAAAAAATGATTTTAGATATACAAAAGGGAGGTTTGGTCTTGGACACCCACCTCATGCCCATATAAAGAAACGTGGAGTAAGGATGTTGATGAAGTGATGAAATGAAGCTAAAACTCAACATGCCATGTGTTTTTCTTTTCTTCTTTTTCCAGTAACATTCGAGGGGGAATATTTCACAATGAGGTGTCCAGGAGAACAGAAATTGTTCAAGGATAATAGTGATGCGAACAATACTGTACAGTACCACGATCAAACCAAAGGCTTGTATAGATGTGAAAAGGGAAAATATTTTTTCTACGTGAAAGCAAATTGTGAGTAAAGGGTCTTTTAATGTCTCACCTGAGTCAGGTGTCCTATTCTGAGCAAACACTTTTGTAACTGCTGTTCTTTGTTCCCTAGTGTGTTTAAATTGTTTCAACCTGGACGGAGCTTTGTTCGCTCAGGTCATCGCTGTGGACATGACCGGGACGATAATTCTGATGATAGTCATCTATAGGTGCACCAAGAAACGCTCAGCTGGATCTACAAACACCTCAAAAGGTAAAGATTTTACAGTTTCTGTGCTGGACGTTGTTTGCATAGCTTTTAACAGTCAATGGTGCAGAGTGAGAAAACTTTGTGTTCATCCTGCCTGGTTTATCTGGAATGGACACAAAATTAAACAGAATTTGCTTTATTACTGTTTACGTGTGTGGTTTATTATAAGTTTTAGTGATTGACCAAACTCTTTTTTTTTTTTTACATCGCTTATCGACTATTTCAGATGTCTCTTCAGCGATTGACACAATCTTCAAAGTTCACAACTTATAAAAATGAAACTCTGTAATTCAGCTCTATGTAAGTTATTGCAGCAACACACAAGGGTTGTGCTTTCACTTTGGGGACGAATTGGGAACCAGGGAAGCGATTTAATGAATGTTGTTGAGTTGTAGGTCCACTGATGTCGTTTGACTGAGGCACATGTAATTCACGTTTTTCTTGATGCATGCTGATTTTTAGGTGAGCTTTTGCAGCTGATGTGGCCCTTTGAAATTCTAAATTCACCTGACGCCGAAGAGTGCTGACTCGCCATATAGATTAGATTTTGGCTCCAGGGACATTTTACAAGGAGATTTATCCTGATGTAATAAAAGCTGATACAACTTGTCTGCATACACAGTGAAGCACAAAGCTTTTTAAGTAATATGTGCTTGGTCACAGTATTGTTGTCATTACTTTGCAGCACCTGCTCGTGCAGTAGGCCGTGCACCACCTGTCCCATCTCCTGACTATGAGGTAGGTTTTGTTTTTCGTCCAATGTCCATTAATTCCTTGATGAACTCAATGAAAGAGGGGTGCCAAGAAAGGAAAGTGCTCAGGACACAACCCCACAGTTTCTCTTAAGAACGTTTGTGACACCAGCCACACGCTCAGATGTCTGTCTACGACACAATAAATGGTAGATGCCTGGAAATCTTCTCTGATGCTTCCAGTTATCTGATTCTTTCTCAAGTGTACTGAAGAGAGGACATGAGTTTGCATATGCATGTATCTGTAGCCGTGCTCTACAGATACTATATTGTTACAGCCTCCCATAGGTGATGAAAAAATTCGAAAAAGGCATTTCATTAGCAGCATTTTGAATGTGAGGTGAAAAAGTGATCGGAAAAAGTGAACTCAGCAGAGAGAAATGTGGGTTTGCATCTGTTAATAATGAGCTTCGATGAGAGATGGAACTTCTCATGTTGGCAATTTATTTGTTGGAGGCAGTCCCAGCTGACATTGAGTTCAGCTCCAGAATTATAGTTAAATATTTTGTCATTGTAAATAAAACTGGATAAAGTGAAAATAGCTGAAAATTTTAAATCATTGTCCATGGGCGAGATATTTAGATACCCAAATTGCCCCTGAGCGCTGTGCAGAGTGATGGATGAAAGAGAGAGTGCTGCACAGATGCACTGTACGACGATCCTCAGATGAGGGCTTGACAATTGTTTCTATATTTCATTTTACCCCATCGACGGTGATATGTTGTGGTTTCTCTCATGTGACAAATGTACTTATTGTAAGTCACTTTAGACAAAAGCGTCTGCTAAAGGCCCTAAATGTAAATGTAAATGTGGGATGTGTGTGTGAATGGGTGTATGGCAAAACTGTGAAGCTCTTTGATTGGCCACCAAGACAAGAAGAGCGCTATGTAAACACACCATTTAACAATAATATTGAAAATTGTGTATTGCTTTCTCACCATCTAAAACAAACAACTATCACACAGTTTAGTGGTTATATGACACTGATCCACCTAACACTGTATATGTTGTGTTTTGGCAGCCACTGAACCCGCACACTCGCGCCCAGGACCCTTACTCTATTGTGAACAGGACGGGATAAAGTCACATGACCTGACTGCACCAGGACACTGGTTTAAAGGCTGCACCGACAAAAGCATTAACACCATGCTCCCAGTTTGTGCAGCGGTGACCTGGAATCTAGTTTGTGGGATTTTCAGTATTTGCAAATTATACTGAAAAACTACTTTCCTCTCCAGAAATCATCCCTAAAGAAACCATCAACAGCGTGTATAGATTCAGGGGAATGTTCACATTGCTTTTGTGTGTTGCTGTAGATTTGTTGCAGTCATTTACAACCTGAGGGTACTTCAGCAGCTCAGCTTATTTGAAACTGACTAATTGTCATGTTCATGATCATGTTTAGGAAGGAAAATAATTACAAAAATAACATGGAATTGCAAAATTGGTACACTGCTAATCTCAAATGTGTTTATTGTAACAAAAATAAAGAGAGTTTTCTCCGGGATCAGCTGTAATTCCTTGACACAGAGTCCATGGAAACAAGTCATCAGAATGCCTAGACAAAGCTCAATGACGGACCTTTAAAAGAAAGGAAATCTACTGGTTTTCTTTGCTGTGAAATGAAACTGAACAGTTTTATAAACCCGTTATATCAATAGCTATTGAAAGAGAGGGGACAGTGAAGAGGAACAGGAACAAATCCTGCGCAGGACTCAGGTTAAGCGTGGTGCAGCAGGCAGAGGCAGTTCAAGACGTATAAATTCTGCTGTGGAGATTAAGTGTTGTTGTTCATCAACACTGGCCTCCGACCTCATCACACAGAACTCTGTTGATATCTTCGTCGATGTGTTCTGCATGTGTGGCCCCGCATTTTCATACTGAAATTTTTTTTACATTTTTGCGTCAGTCGTGCGTTAACCTCGTCAACTCACACACTGGATCTTCTGCTCTGCATCGGCTCCTTCTGACTTTCTGCGGATCTTTCCGCTCAGTCCCCTGGTAAAAAAGACTGCAAGAAGTCCGAAGGCTCTCACTCGGACATTTGTATTCAAACATACAGCCTCTATGGAGAATGTCCCGAGGATCTGCTGAGTTCAGAGCATGTCTGAAAGCAGCTTAACATAACTAAGATGCTTTCAGACATATCAGACATTTCAGACAGATCGTGTTTAACCACAAAGAGTAAACTCAGTTTAGTGGATTATGTGTCCAGGTTGTGAGCCCTTTTAGAAAGGCAGTGTAGTATATGTCAGATAAAAAAAAGCTTGAGAACAAGCGCTGTCAACTAATTTGGAAGAAATATTTGAAAGCGGTGAGCAACACAGGTTTACTTTCATGTCTGTTGTATCTGTGTGAAGCCAGAAATCTCTCTCTTGTTCTTTAATATCCACTCACCCCTCTGTGCGGTCCTGCAATCCAATTCAACTGTTCTGCCGTTAATCTACTGTAATGGTGCCATTCATTGTCTTGCTTTGTAAAGTAAATTTATTTTTGAGTGTACTGTACCCTTTAATATAATACGTTGACAGAGTGTACTGTAAAAATCATTACTTTTCATTTTGAATAAAAAGATATAGATTGTTTTTGTGTACATGCAGTTGTCAGTTTATTAGGTACACCTCACCAAACCCATGTAGCCTGAATACCACAGCACCACAACAAAGGTTAAAGTGTTGGCTTCTGGTTGTAACTATATGTGAGAGAGATATGATCATTTCACAGTCTATGGTGATGTCAAACTTTGATGCATTACACAGAAAGGGGTTTCTGTTATCTTTAAGTTTTCACCAATGTCCGTTTGTTTTTTAGATGATTTGTTTCTTTGTTTTTAAGCAAGATTACACAAAAACTGCTGGACGGATTATTAGGAGACTTGGTGGAAGGATGAGGATGAGGTATAGGTCCCATAAAATGCTGATGTCGTAGGACAGGGCATTTGACTATATTTTCGCTGATTTCTCTGAGGATAATGGATCAATCTAAGATGGATTGATTGAAATTGAAGGGACTGTTGTGTCTTGTGCTCTACTGAATGCCATTAAAGCTATTATTTCGTCTAGTGCAGTTCCCTGTTTTACACCTCCCTGTTTGAAAAAGGTTGTTTTCTGTTTCTGTTTTCTTGGCCTGTGTTAAAGCTGTGGAGCTGCTTCAGAATTATTCCTCGTTATTAGTGAGTCCTCCTCAAACAACACTGTCCCTTTTTAGTGTTTGGGTGCTGGACGTTGGGTGCAGAGCCTTTTATAAACAGTCTATGGTGCAGTGTGCCATTAAAAAATGATCTCATCCTACCTGGTTTATCTGCAGTTAAGATTTTATAGCAAGTTTATTCATAAAATTACTTTTCAGGTATTGTGCAAGTTTGATTGCTTTTCTTAACCGTTGTTAATTTTCATGCATTGCACGTCAGCTATTTCAGAAGTCTGTTAAGCAACTGACACAAGCTACAGCCCCAACCTTTCTGAAGTAGATATAATTGTTTCGGGGAATTAGTAGGTAGACTAATTTGTCCACCAAGACTAAATATCATAGAAACCCCTCTCTGTATGCCACAAAACACCACCAGAGTCTCATGGTTGGAAACAGTGCTGAGATGCTTCTACAGATACCACTTTATGCAGTAAAAGAAGCAGTCTTGAAGCCACAGCTCATATCCGCAGTACAACTGAAAGCACACAATCATCATCTGTATCCGTCTTCATCAGACAGCTTTGTGCGAGCGACACACCATTCTGTTGTTGCATACGTTTGTGAAACGTTTCACAATGTTTATGCACATATTTCATAAGAAAGAGTGGAAATGTTGTGTCACACTTCGGGCTCCTGTTTATGTGTATGTGTGTGTGTGTGTGTGTGTGTATATTTTCCAATGAGCACAGCTGCACTGATGTAAAAGACGATGGGAAACACTGTGTCACATAACATTTCTTTTTCTTCTGCAGACTGATGGTGATAAACTACACTGAGTGTTAGCTCAGACGTTCTGTGTTTAGTGGAAACACTGCAGTTACTTGCTCAGTTATCTTAATCTGCTGTGTTTGTGTGATGATGAAATAAAGGGGTAGAGGTGAAAGGGGGATGCGGTGGGGGTGGGGCGGTTTAAGGTGTGATCTTCTCTCTGACTGTCTTGAGTCGAACTGCTCCCACACACAGACTAACAGCTGCCTGATGAGTGGTTGCGGTCGTGAGAGTCAACATCCGTGCATGAAAGTACACGTGAGTGTGTGTGTGGGATGATCAGGGTCGTGTTTTTTTTGTCTAAGCTCCGGATCTTTCTTCTTCCCCTCAGCTCTGGCAGAAAACGTCTGTAACAGCAGCGTTGTGAAGACCAGAAGTCACTTTAGTCACTTTCTCATCTCCTCCATTGCCTTCTCCTCCTCTTGGTTTCTTTCTAAATGTTTCTTTACTCTGTTCTCTTGTGCCTTGCTGTCTAATTATTTCTATCATTGCTCTCTATATTCTCATCTACTTGTATCTTTGATGCAAAGAAAGACATCTGAAAGCCCCTCCCCTTTAGCAGATAGTTGTGGGAGTAGTGGTCAAAGTATTCACATTACCCAAAGTAAGTAAGATAATATTATAGCACGTAAGTGTCAAGTGTAAAAGAACACTTTGTACAGATGAATGGCCTCACAAAATTATTTGCATTGTTTCTCAAATCTTTGCTTTTTGTGAAATAATCCGTCCGAACATGTGAGAGGTTTATAGGAAGAGTATAACAGGCTATATTATTCTATGCAACTGGTAAAAAAAACAAACCACAGACATCTGATCTGGGATCTGTGGTGGACATTGCTTTTTCAAAGAATTTGAAAACCAGTGGTTTAATGTTTAGCAATGCTTTTTTTCTTCTTCTCTGAACAAGTAACTAACATACATATGAGTATAGAGTATTAGCAGCAGGAGTTCTTCCATGTTAAAATACAGTCCTTGAGAAAATGTACTTAACAACAGAAGCTGCAGGCATCATCAGAAAAGACAGGCAAGTATTTTATTGCAAATTTTCATCATACAACATGGTGATGACAATTTTGTTGGAAAAAAAACATCTGTAAGGTTTATTGTGGCGTGGTTCTAGCAGCCCCATATGTGCAGATACAACAAATCGATAATTAAGGAAAATAACACATGGTCAAAAATACTGCTAAAATGAAAATAATGCAACAAGCTCATCAAACAAGCACAGTGAAAATAAACTAATATTAGTATAATAAAGAGCAAATTACATCAAGGTTGAGCGACAATGCATCACACGCTGCACATCTGGGGGCGGAGATGGGGCGGTCCACCCCTCTATCTATTGTGGTTAATGACATCATACGTGTCCTTCCGGGCACCACTGTTGAATCTCAGACGCTGAGGGAGGAGGGATTGAATATATGAATTAAAAGAAGAAATAATTAATAGTTAAATGAATCAAAATCATCATTCCTTCATTTTATTTAAAGGTAAGGGTGTAGAATTGTGTGATTTCTAGTGTTGAAATTGCATGTTGCAGCGGAACACCCCTCACCTCACACTCTCCTTACAAACATGACAAAGAACCTGTGGTAAACTTCAGTTGTCTTAAAAACTCAAAAGGCGTTTAGTTTGTCCAGTCTGGACTAATGTAAAAAACATGGCGGCCTCCGTAGAGAGGGTCCCCTGGATGTAAATATAAAGTATTTAAATATAAAGGGCCTTTTCTGGGGTAAAGAAAACTACAATTCATAAAACTTAGATGAAACGAACTAGTGAAAACATCATGAGGATTATTCTACATTAACTTTCTGCCAATCGTTCCCTTTCACCTAAATCTTACACACTGGACCTTTAAATGTGATTATCACATATTGCAGTGGAAAGGCCGTCACATGTCATCTCACCTGGTATGGGTCGTTTGAGGCTCTGTTGCGCATCTCATTTGGAAGCGGTCGCTCGGAACCTGAGGACAGACGAACTGATGATTGCACAAATACTAGTATTAGTAATTGTTTTATTTAAAGATTGGATCTTTCATAATGAGTACATTTTATTTAAGTTATTAATTTGGATGATTGATATATGTATATATAGTGTATGTGGCAAGTGAAAATAATAATAATTAGTGAACTAGTTAATAAAGAACTTCCTGTTCCTGTTCATCTATGATACAATAAATATGCTCGTAGTCTCAGGACAGGCAGGTTAGCGTAGCCCAACACAAAGGTTGTAAACATTACACATAATTTAGCTGATGCTTTTATACAAAGCAACTTCCAATAAGTGAATTCAACCATGAGTGTACAAAAGTACATGAGCTTCAAAAAAGCCAAGTGCTACATCTAAGTGAAACAGATATTTTCGTCACTCTGAATACGGCTATATTACATAATATAAACAGATTTTTTTAATCTGGTGCATTTGTAGAAACTGACACTGAATTATATAACACAACAATAAAAATTAACATTATAATAATAATAACAACAACTTAAAAAACGCACAAAGTTTGACCAAACACAACAGCATTTCACAAAACACGTCAACATTTCAGATTACGGAAAAGGTGAGTCATGGCTTTTTGTTCCCAGACAGAATCCAAGTTCCTGACAACAACTCTATGTCATTCCCTGTTTCTATTGTCACTTATCCTAGCAGCATCCTTGCAGGAGTTTGAATGGATGGAAGAGGAGATGGAAACCATTAGAACATATTTAAACCAAGGGCATTCATATAACTATCTCTGCCAAGAAGGTTAATTCTTTGTCAATGATGTCAATCAGGGATGTCTGTGTAAATTGTGGCACCTTTATGGCCCCTTATTCAGAAAAAATCTGCCACTGGAAATAACCAATCATCAACCAGAGTGAACACATCAACTGAATGTAATGTTGATGATCAGTATTATGCTGTTGAATTTTCCGAGGTGTCATCTTGAAATGTTGTTTTGACCCTCAGAGCCACCGTAGAAAGTAATTCCTATTACTTTAAAACACAATACAGGGATTTTTCTTATCTTTGAGAAGTTAGCCACTTACATAACACTACCTGGCCAAGTCAGATTTTAGATAAGAATGAATGTTCATAGATAGATAGATACTTTTCTTGTGAGAGATGACTGGACCAGCCTGAGACGCGATAAGGTAGACAGCCAATCCTAACAAGATTGTTGCCACCGCATCTCCAATAGTGAGGCCGACTATGGTAGGTAGGTTGAGCTCGATGCAGTTTTCACAGGCTTGACACACACACACACAGAGAGAGAGAGAGAGAGAGAGAGAGAGTCTTGAGAATCTGAGATTTTGAAAAGTATTTGATTAATATAAAGAAATGCTGTAACATGCTGTAAACATTATCACACAGTGTGAAGACAAGTAATAGATGTAACATGCATTGCACATAAAACCCATGACGCACAACAACACTAGTGCTTTCATAACAAGACGCTGCTTTGGAACTTACTTTGTAATTTCAAATAGATTTCGTATTCCTCGATTTTGTTGTTTTCGACTTTCAAGGAGCATGTGTAGAGTCCTGACGATTCATCTTTGTAACGTATTGTCAGAGGATTTTTCTTCTCTACACCATTTACTTTGAAAGATGCATCGTCGGACTTCTTGTTGCAATTCAGAGTAATCCAATCTCCTGATGATGTGACTTTAATCATATCATCTGCTTCGGTGTCTGTGTAGAAAACAGAATCATGCACATTAAACCCGTGCTCCTTACTGAACGGCTTCTTGATAAAAACTCTGCAGGCAAACCTTCATTAAAACAAATGTAAACACAATTTCACTCATGCAGTCACTATTGCACAACTCCCTTTATCTTTACAAGCTGTTAAAAAGTGTTTACTTTAATGAAGCTGACACACAATTAGCTGCCATTAAAATATTGAAAGGTTTTCTTTTTCGCTAAACCCATTTAATATAAGATGTTTGAAGACCTCGTTATAATCCTCATCTAAGTGAAAACATTTTGACAGAGGCCTTACCTGGCAGCGTCCAAAGCAGCAGCAAGCAGGCAGGCAACAGTGATGTAAATTTCATTGTGTGTGCACTTCTCTGTCTTCTGAGTTCTGCTGATGACAGGTGGAGATATTTCAGATCGCTGTAAGTAAAAGCGAGGATACAACACAGAACAGGAAGGGCGCCATTTTCTGGTCCCAGTCGACCATTTTATTAACTTCGACAGATAGTTGATGGTAAAAGACAAACACAATATGATAATACAACATGATCGCAGCAGGAAATGTATAATAAAAGTACAGACCTCAAGATAAGCAGACCTGCCTTGTTTCTGCTCTCGAAGCGTTTAGTGTCTGTTATGTGAGTGTCGGATAATCTAAATATCTGTGTGTGTGTGTGTGTGTGTGTGTGTCTGTGTGTGTGTGTGTGTGTGAGAGAGAGAGAGAGAGTAGGAAGGAAGTTAGTGTGATTGGTGGGTTTTCTGTCTCTGTTGAGGAATTGGTGTCACTGTGACTTGAAGCAAATGACACCATATGTTGTGTGACACTGGTGGGATATATAGTTTATTTGACTCTTTTTGTTTTTATTTCATTTTTCTTTTTGATATTTGAAATTATTGTGTTACTTAGATAATTTTACTGACGAAACATTCAATGTGCTTTTTACGGGAATTTGACTTGTAATAAAAATAGCTAATGTCTTCCATGTGACACTGTTATTTTTATCAAAACGTTTTTCACATTATTTCAAAAAAGAGACAGACAGCACTTTGTAAAAAACAAAAGATCTTCATTACCTCCTTAAGGTGAAAAGTCCTGGTTGGCCCGTGTCTCTTACCTTGGCCAAGGAGGTAATGTCTTCATCTGCATTTTGTTATTATGGATAAAGTATTGGATGCATTACCGTGAAACTTGGAGGAAGGATTTGGTGCATTTTAGTGATTTTCTCCACTTTCTTCTACATTGAGAGATAGAGTATGTTGAAAATGTTGCATTGATCTGAAATTAATTCACAAATCTTGATAAAAAAAAAAAAATCAGGCATGTTTAGGGGACTGATATTTATGAGTGTATCCAATGTGATGCTCATCCCAAACAAAAATCTGGATCTGGTGAATTTAAATGTGGTATCATGAAACGACTGTTGGGCCTCGTGGAGGTATACGCGCTACTGAGCGCTATTCTAACTTGTTGATGTAATTTAAAATGTTGATGCTCAATAGTGATTAGTGCACAACCCAGAATACACAGCATGTTTGCATAGCTACATATCTGAGACTAAAGACAGTAAATCATGGAGGTTTTCCCAGGAAAAAATTCAAGGATCTTGATGAGAAAAAACATTTCAGGGACCGATATTTGTGTGTGAAGTTTGGTGTAGTTTGATTGAATTAAAGGGCAGTAGGACCTTGGAGGAGGGATGCACTTGTTTATATGTCAGAAGGATTACAAAAAATACTGATCCGAGCTGCACCAAACTTGGAGGTGGGGTGGTACCGGGGTACTTACTCTAGAATGCAAAGACATCTGACATATTCGTGGTGTTAACATCTATAAGATGGTACAATTTAGCACAGATAAACCAACTCTTTCCTTTTATTTTTCTACTTGCGTACTGACACTCTACGGAAACAAGTCTCTACCAGCTTCATATAAGCAGAAATGACTCATCAGTGTGTTAACGCTGGCTGCTGCTTTCTGTCGAGTTGCTGTGGGAGACAAAGGAATCAGCTCCGTGTGGTAAAACAGAGAAATGAGCACAACTGTGTGTGTTCAGATAAACATTTGAATTCCCTGCTTAATGCAAATGTTTGTCCCGCTGTCTGTGACAGACGACATTCCCTGTGAGGCGCTGAAGAAGCAGCGGAGACAGAGAGCACATTGCTCCAGCAACACCACAACTCTGTTTCCTGTTTGAAGAGAAGCCACAACAACCCAGAGTCAACACCTGGCACACACACACACGCAGACACACAAACCTATAAACAGAAAACTCTTCTTGCAGCTGCTACTGAAAATGCAACAACACGTTCACCATCACACACACAACACAACTTCATCACACATCAACCTCTTAGCTTGACTTGTTTCCACCTAGTAATTCGCCTTAGACTGCCCCCTGGTGAGCAGTCATAAAACCACAGCATGTACAGTATTTACTTCATACAGTTTCAACTCTTTATTGACGTCCTCTATTATACACATATACATATGCATACAAATATACAATGCTCGACATGTAACATGTCCATATACAAATACATACTCTATTATTATGTTCGACCTTAAATAGGTTTCATTGGTCAAAATTGTAAATTTCACATACAGTACATTACTTTGGACATTCTGGTGTTAGCATAGAACATTTAATGCATTCAATTAATGCAACGGGGAGGACGACACTATGAGCATGTGGTTACAGGGGGAAATCATAGCAAAACATCTCATAATGTGAGCTTTTTTTTAATGTCCAGATCATACTTTGCATTGTTGAGACAACACAGCAGCAGTGTAAATACCAGAGAGAGGAGAAGCATCAACAGAGGTCTGTACTACGAAGTGAGTTCAACATACCCAGGATACCTTTCAGGGATCCAGCTGAACGTAACAAACAATCACAGTCAGGCTAAGTGGTCACAAGAAGCTGGTTGTCAACTCGTTAATTTAACCCAGGGCGCAAGTGAAACGGGCGGGGTTTACTGCGTATGACCAATCACAGACATGGACAAGTGAACTGACAGCAGGGCCGCATATTTCACAAACGAGGATCAAACTGTTGCGAGGAGACCAAAAACACATTATTCAGACTAAACGAAACAGTTACAGCTGTTAAATGCAGGAAGAACAACTGGGGGAAAAAATCTCTGATTGTGTGAATGTGTAAGTTATAGAACCCCCTGATGGTTGGTTATGTTCAGCTCCAGCTGCTGACAAAGGTTTATCATTCCCTCTGATGAGAATCTGTATCTTTCATAAATATACTCATCAGAGTAGCTCAAAGGATTTTGACTTGACCATCCACACTCACAGTGGGCGGAGCTTTTATACCGCCCCATCTCTTATCTGCAACTTAACGTATTCCAAACCAGGTTAGCCGTTCAGCATAAGTTACCATGGTGATTTACCCCGATAAGAAGTGAACGAGCATCCGGCTTCGTAGTACAGGCCTCAGGTTTGTTATGTGGACAAGAAATTCAACAAGTCTGAGGCGGAGAAAGAGTCAGAGTGTGTTGATATAATATGTGGGCTCAACAACAACATGGTCTGAGGGTCCTGGTCATTCCTGTCCAGCTCAAAGGGGACTGATGATTGTTTGAATGACTGACTGGTAGTTCCCTCTTGGACAACTGCATCTGGTAGGAGTTATGCATGCATGTACTGTCTGTGTGTGTGTGTGAGGTAAGTCAGAGCCAGATCTCCTCGCTGCTTGTGCTGTTGACCTTATAGATGTAGCCCACCATCGGATATCTGGCAAAACCTGAGAATCATCAGGGAAAAGAATTCAGAAAGAACGCGTCATGGAAAAAAGGCTGCCGTTGGTCCACAATGAGGCTAAAGTATAAATAATGAAAAGTGTAGTTCCCTGACCTCTGGCGGCGTAGGCTAAAGACAGATCTTCCTCCTCCTCTTCCTTCTTCTCTCCCACACTGTTGTGCTGGGCAGCCTCTCGGGCTTCGAGCAGAAATGCAGGGAAGATGGAGGAGATGGTAAAAGAGAAGGGATAGCTTACAGAAGCTAATGCGTGAAGCTGAACCTTCCTATGAGTTCACGTCTTCCGGTCATTATGTTTATAATAACATGCTGCATTCAAGACTTGTAGGAATTATGGACTGAGTAACTCAATTGTTTGCAACTTGGACCTTCGTTGATTGAGCTTAACACCAAAACAAACTTTTGTTTCGTCATTCTCATCAAACTCCATCATGCAAAGAATTGTGGGGATCTCTCACCTTTTCTCAAAGTGCTGAGGTCGTTGAGCTGCATGTTGGAAGGCAGAGACATGTTCTCTCTTGGGATGAAGGTCTTATCGTCCTTCTCTACTTTCAGGTTGGCAGAGTAACTGTGCAAGAAGCATGGATTAGATGTGTTATTGGCCTTCAGGATGGATACAAAGTATTTATAAGAGCACAAAAAATACTTTCATCAGACCTTCCCTTCTGTGCTGAGGTTATTACTATCCGATTTAAATTATGGGGTCAGATAGTGGGATAGATGTGTGATGAAAGGACGGTGGTGGTGGGAACAAATAAAATACTCAATATACAATTTGTTACTTTCTATATTAAAGACATTTTATCCTCTATAAGTGACATGTAGATGTGTGTAATGTAGAGTTCTAATGCTAAGACCTAGCGTCCTCAGGATACAGTATAAAGAACACATTCTACGTGTCACTATGTGTGAGGCGTTCAGTGACCATGACTGAATCCATGTGACACATTAGGTCAACATTTTGGAGACATGAACTTGTGCCTGGGCCTTGTGCAGTCACTTCTTTGAGATTGTGCTAGTTTGTATTCTTTGGGTAGAATCAGGAAACCAAAAACCCTTTGCTAAAATAAGCTATTGGACGTGTAAGTGCCGTGCCTGATCTAAACCTGTTTTTGCAGACTGTGGGGATGCTGGTTGCAGCTTCCTTTCTGAAACTATAAAAGTGACCTGCAGTAATTGAGCTGCATCAAGTAAAGACCTGCTGCTGAACTCAGTCCACAGAACAATGACGCGACACCAGCATTGCTGCACAAAGAGCTGTTCACTTGTTTATTCAATATTCAGCAGAACCCTGAACTGGAGAATCAGTTGTTGTTGCCAGCATCGTGAACGCACCCCATGTCATTAATGCGTCACTTATGCAGCTGCTGCTACAGAGTATTGATATTTTAATATTGAACATATTGCACTCTCTTAGGGCCTTAACAATACACATGGAAGCCAGGCAAACGTGAAAGATGTATGGAATCATACTTCTGTGGTCAGAAAGTGACACTTGCTTTGCATTAAATGCTGGCTGACTGGATTTCCATCTTTGCTGTTCTGCTGCTTTACTCTCTCCCTGGTATCCAATGACAGAAGTCTGATTACTTTGTTTACCTTTTCTTGGTCATCAGAATCTCCACTGGCTCGTCTGTAACACAACAAAAGGAGATGCATTATCCTGCTGAATAAATATTATGTGCTACAAGTTTTCCACTGCACAAACACAAACTGCCGTCTCACCGATGGACTTGCTTTTGTTTTTTTGCATGAGGCAGAGAACGATTAGACTGAGGATGAGGAGGGCCATGAACGCCATGGCTCCCCCAGTCACTATTCCCAGCATGGGCACCTCTACACGAGACTGCAGGAACTCTGGAGAGAGATGGAGAGAGAGTTAAAGGAATGACTTCAGGGAGCTATGCTAATTCATTGTCTTAATTGAGTTAGGCCAGCAGAGTGGTACCAATTTCATATTTGTGCTGTAATGAAGCTGCAGCCATGAGATTATTGGTTCCTCTTTGCCTTTCACCATCACTGACCTGCTAGTGTGAGATTGTTCTGCACCGCTCCGACACTGTTGCTGGCATTCAGCGATAAATTCCCTGATAGGCTACTGAGCGTCACCCTCAGCGTGTGATTGGTCAGCCAGGGGTAGCTGCGCGAGTCCAGGATGAAGAAGTCGGAGGTGTTGGCCACCAGATGGCCAGACTGGTCAACGAAGGTGATGGTGGCAGGTGGGTTGGACCGTACCAGGGCAAAGAGGATCAGGGACAGGCCGGGGTCTGAGGTTTCAGTGTAGTGGGCGTTCACCCTGAGGATCTCTGGCTGAACTGGGGAACAGAGGAGAGGAAGGACTCAGCAGTTTATTCATCGCATCAACAGAAATTAGCTGGGTCCGGTATTAATTCTGTAAAACTTTTTACACTGGACGTTGATTGTGACTGTGGCATTGTAACTCTCTCCTGTCCGGGGGTTCGATGCTACACACACTAGCTCCCTGTCCCACTTTCTGGCCTGCAGAGAGAAGGTGCTGTTGTGATTGGTTCCTGGTCTCATGAGCACAGAATCTTCCTGTGATGTCATCACCAGGCGCCCACGGTTGGGGGACGGCGCTCCCTGTCGCTCCCCATTCAGGTACCAAGTCAGCAAAGGAGGAGCATGAGGATCCCAGCCGTCCGATTGGCAGTTAAACCGATGTGTCGTGTTCTCCTGCAGTGTCACTGCTGCCCGGTGCCATCCATCAATTTTTGGGGCGGGCTCAATCGCTCCTGTGGGGGAGTAATGTTGGATTGTTGGGGCCAGAAATGATGAATTAAAACATTGAAAAATGATCTACCCTGACAGTAAAGATAGCACAAAGCAATATCTCTAAATGTTTGACTGTATAGCCTATGTGAAGCATTTCAACACATATATTTCAAGTAAGATTAGCTTAGCTTAGCACAAAAATAGGGAGCAGGGGGTAACAGCTAGCCTGGCCCTGTCTAAGGTCACAATAAAGTCCACCCACTGGTAACTATGAATTTCAAGAATCAACATATTATATCTTTATTTTATCTAAGCAAAATCCAAAGTGTTAAATCAATAATTTGTGACGAATGATTCAAGATAATTAGCTATTTCCCCGT